TCAGGCAATTTTAGAGCCCAGGTGAGCCGTCTGCATGAGCATTTGTCGGCCCAGGCAAGAAACAAAGCTAATAGGGCTTGAAAGTGATGACGTCAAAACGGCCAGGGAGTACTAAGTTGACATCAGATTTCTATTTTGGATCCACTAAGGTGTGACTTTGCTATTGACTCAGTATGTGGGTGCATAGCAACCTACTCATGTCGTATGCAGGGGTGACTTTTACTTCGCCACCAGTTGTAACCCCGCCCCCAGTAGCCAAATCAGTCAGTTTCACTGGTTACATCACCTTGCTGAGAGTAAGACGGCTTGAGATGTGCTTGGATCAATACAAAAACTGGATCCAAGTGGATCCAATTTTTGAATTTTTGAAATTGTTGCTATGCTGTGACGTAGCCCTTTCAAGCCCTATTCTACGAGCCAGGTCGCAAAAAAGACCACGCTTCCGGCGGGCTAGTCCTGCGTCAGCCCCGGCCACTCAAAGCCCCGCGGCCGCGACCCAGCCTGACTCGTCGCCTGCGTTCACGTCGCAGCAATCTGCCGAGATCTCCCGAGCCGTGCAAGATGCAGTGGCGTCCTGCATGACGTCATTGACAACATCGATGGGTCTACCGGTGGTACCTCCACATGCACAGCCAACAGTAGCAGCAGCAACAGCAGCACAGCGGGCTGGTCCAGTCTCTGACGGTGATGTTGTGGTGCCTGAGCATGAATATGTCCAGCCTTCACTGGCTTCAGCACTAAGACCAGACCAGGAGAGTCTCTTCCTGGACGGCGATTTGCTCGCCCCAGAGCGTCCACCATCCATCCCATTGCCTGCCCTCAGCGACCATCTCACGGACAAGATTATCAAACGTGAGTACGTTGATTTTGGTAGGGTACTGGGGGAGCTGGCTTTTGATACGAGCATGGGTCTGGACAGTGGGTTCAGCCTGCAGGGGACGGGGGACCACATCACCCTTGTGCCATCTGCCATGTCGTCGTCATCCCGTCTAAAGAAAGTTGTAGACTTGACATTGTGGTCGGAGGCGTTCTCAGCCTTCGCCCAAGTAGCCCTCCACCACGACCCCGGCAGAGGTCCGGAATTATTCAAGTATCAAAGCACAATCGTGAAAGCGGCCGCACGCTATACATTCGGTGCGTGGTCCGGCTTCGACATGTCGTTCCGTGCAAGAGCTGAACGCAGCAAATCTAGCCTTGCCACGTCAGATCCGGAACTCTGGTCGGAGTGGTTTACAAACTCCATCCTGCCTCCCTGCCGTCACTGCAACCGGCAAGGTTATTTAGCAGTTCGCTGCCCCCGCGCCCGTAGCCTAGCTTCACTGTCTGAAGGGCCCGCAGCCAAACGCCCCTTTCCGGCACAGCGGTCAGGGGCTACCGCTCAGCCAAACGCCCAAGGGTCCTCCGTCCGGCTCACAACCACCAACTCAACCGTTTGCCCGGTCAGAGCCATGTATACCTATCTCTCCAGATGCCCCAACCTGCCCAATAGACCACTGTTCGTTGACAGCTGTGGCAAGTTCCTAACTGCACAAAGACTCACACGTCTAATCCGTCAGCTCCTGAGCAGCGCAGGGTACCCACGGATCCAGTATTCACTGCACGGCCTCAGAGCCGGAGCCGCAACCACAGGAGCAATGAGCGGCTTCACTGAATCCGAGATCATGAAACTCGGCAGATGGCGAAGTGCCTGCTACAAGAACTATGTTCGCTGTGGAAAGTAACTGTTCACCGTCCGCAGGCGCGCACAGCCACACCCACATTCACGCACCCGCAGACACATACACACGCACGCACACACACCCACGCACGCATACACACATGCATGCACGCGTACGCGCACCCGCAGTCTGATACCGCGCAAGCATGCATGCAGGTACACACGCTGCGCACACACTGGTACGCCCATTCGCGGACGTATGCACTCACGTTCTAGCACTGACTGTGCACGCACGCCTCTGATACTCATAAGTTATCTGCACCACTCAGTTGCTGTGCTATAGCTCCCACCTATGGCATCATGCCACCCATTGCTTTTGCCGACTACATGCGATTCAAACCCTTATCAGTGTCACTAAGGGAAAACAAACATACAAATGGCACGCATTTGAACTACGTACATGTAGCTGAAACGCTTGAATACCACACTAAGGTCATTCGGCTGACCAACGCAGAATTTGGGGCCATTCGGCGGTCTGGTCTGATTCCTAGCTTGTTGGTAACCGGCTTGAGGTTTCCAAGGTTGCTATGACAACGTGCAGTCATGCGCAGGGCCACCCAACATGCATTTGGAGGCCCAGGAAAGACAGAAACGCGTTCCTAGGCAACAGCAAAAGCGCTCGGCGAGTATCACGCTACTCATGCAGCGCGCACGTTGGGGTGTGTCCCCTGCAACCGTAATGATAGTGTTCATCCATGGGGGAATGTTGCAAACGCCTCAACCATTCCATATTCATCCATAAAGGCATTTCTGAACGCATTATGTCCATAATATGAATGATTTGTCTTCATTTTCTTCAGAATATTTGAATTATAATTATGCTGGCTTCATTCCAATATGCGTACACAGTGCGCGTTTGGACGAGTATACTCGTCCTTGGGAAATCACTAGGGACGAGTATACTCGTCCTTGGGCTTCAAAGGGTTAAAAGAGCTTCTTGTTGTCCTAGGGCCGGTTGAAACTAGAGGGAAAAGGTCCGTAAAATTTGGGAGAGGGAAAACAACATGATTAACATGGATAAATTTAGCAATGCTACGAATAAGGTAATGTTCAAACGGATACATCGACAATCTAGTTAACAGCGGCATGACGTCATCTTGTAGTTTCGTGCCACAAACAGCGCATACAGAGCTGTCGGTCCTTGGCGGATAGCTTCATTGCAAAGCAAGAGCAGCAGTATAGTAAGTCAGGCAGGATAACAGAGAGGATAAACTGTCGTCTTGCCTTCAAACATAGTTTCCGAAAACACCATCGAAGAGCGCCAACCTTTGTGCAAGTCTTCCTAACGACAAAGTCTATGTGACCAGACCAAGAAACATCACTGTCTGCAATGACTCCCAGGATTCTCGTGCTAGACACTTGAGTCAGAGGCTGTTGGTTAAAAACGATTGGAGTTGAGAGGGGTTGAGAAGACTTAGAAATCATCAAAGTTACAGTGTTCTCGTATTAAACGAATCAGTGACGGTAGCGACGGCCTCAGCTGGTGTACATCTGCTGCCAAACATCGGGAGCGTCTGTCACAAAGGTACGATCGGAACCAGACCAGGGCCGCTCCCGAAATACCAACAGCTGCAAGAGCAAGAAGAAGCTGCTGATGCTTCACCGTATCGAAGGCTTTTTTCAAATCAATACAGAATAAATATTTCCTGTAGGTGTATGATGTAGAATAATTTATTTTATTTTTTATATTTTTGGGCTGAATCCTTTTTTTCTTCTGAGTACTTTTTTCATTATTGTCATCATTCTGTTTTGTTTTTGGTATTTTTGGTGAAGCACGTAAAAGCGTAATTGGCTGTTTTCCCGAGCATCCTGCGAGCATCCGCTAGAGCATAATCTGGTCATTTACCGAGCATAATCCGCTTACCCCTACTAGTGTACAGAAGGAACTATGACACTATGTAGAATCACAGGGGTTGTAACTGAGAGGAGCATCATGACGAGTCGATTGTCCAAGCCGGTTGTATTGCGCAGATAATGATAGACACAAGCAGTGATGTAGCAATGGGATTTGGGATAAAGAGGACAAGCTGTGAGACGTTGACGGGTCACTAGAATGATAAAGCACTTTTGTGCTCCCGCACATATTGTCCAGGCGTCAGGCGCCCAGCCTCCCTGCCTATCAGACCCGCCATACACAACAACAAAACTGAACTAAAGTTTTTTAATTATTCGACAAGACGAAGACGGGCAACGGACAAACAAGAACAACGGACACAACAAGGTAAACTGGAAACTGAAGAAAAAGACAAACATCATGGCAGCACATGAGCATGCGCGTCAACAAAACAACACAAAACGCATGACAATGACGTAACCGTTCCATGGTGCATGCACAAACTGCATGTGAAACCAAATAGTCCAACTGGGGAAAAGGAGATCGCAAAACAAAACAAAATAAACCAAAGGACCACAACAAAATTGAGCCATGAAATGCCTCATTTCTTGTTAAGACAGTGTTCTTTTTGTTCTTGCACTGCTGCTGTACAGTTGCAAATCCCACCCGCCCACCCAATTGGATATTCATTGCTAGATATGTATGTGCATACGGATTTATTGGCTGAATAAGCAGTAGTGCGTGTATGTGGCGAGCATGTTTTCGTGCGCACGCGCACGTGTGGTTGTGTGTGTGTGCGTGTGTGTGTGTGCGTGAGGCCAATTTCAGATAAGTCTGTATTGAGGTAGCACATTAGCTTTAGACTGGCCCATTTGGGGTTATTCAGCATTTCCACTATTGTTGCTGGCGGCAATTCCCATTAATCAGTGCACTGAGCCGCGGTGAACGTAATTCTATTGGAAGTTCATGTATCCAGCGTACCATGGCTTGGATCGCTTACTGTCTTGCGTTGTTTTCTTTTTGTTATGCTAAAGCGATGTGTACCAGGCTGCCATAATTATGTTTAAATGCTTGTCTATGCCTGCGGCATAGTTATGTTAATACACATGCGGTGCAAGAATTGGAGCAGCTGTTTCTGCGACCATGCAGTTCTATTGTTGTTTTTGTGGTGTGTACGAGAGAGTCGAAAAGAAAAGTCTTTCTTTCAAATAAAAACGATATGCAACAAGCGCTTTACACAAAGCGTTTACAACTGTTCCCTTCTATCCAGTGCAGCAGATAATAATACTCACAGATATTATAGGTTTGTTCATCACGTATTCAGCAGTACTCTTTAAACACACAGGTATAATTACTATTCTCTGCGTTCAGTGGTGCAGTTGATCGTACGTAGGCTTCACAAGTGAACTAAATCAGTCAAAAGGAGGCTGTGCAGTTGATAATACTTACAGTGTTCCGAGGTTTGGTAGATCAGAGAACACACCGTCACTTAAATTCTGGATCTGATTATCGTGCAAACGTCTACAAACGACAAAGCACAAAGACAATGTTGTTCTTGCATAGTTCCGGGTAGTGCACAAAACACTGAGTCTAGACTGTAGTGGTTCTAATCTATAAGGCCGAATCATGACCCTGTTTTCAGGAATAACCTAGACTCCTAACCACAACATGATTCATATGCAACTGGGTTAGGTTGCAAAGTTCACATACACCTGTGTAACATATAGTCTCCGTCATTTTTCTTCTATTGTCAAGCATGAGGTTTGTTGCAAAGCTAAGAAAACGCAATTTTTAAAGTTAATTCGACACTAGAAGCGGTCAGGCCTCCTGCATTTTCATACAGAATATATTAATATCCGTATCTGGATATTAATATATCACCAATCCCTTTCGCCACCTTTGTAGCTGACACATTTGGCGCAAACACAGCACAGCACAGTATATTTGCTGCTCCTTTGTAGAGTGCACATCATTGCAAACCTGATGAGGGCTATATGCCGAAACGTTGTTTTAACTACGAAAATGTGTTCGAACGTTGCAGTGTAAATAGAAGGGAACGAGTCCGCTCCATCTGTAATTCTGTATGAAACTGCAGGAGGCCTCACCGCTTCTAATCTCTTGGTTCTCCTCTTCTAGGAGCGAGGCGCCATGGCGATACTTGCAATGGGGGTGCAAACTCCAGAGGAGCCAGTGCCAGTTGTCGTTTCTTCTTCAATGCCGAAGCTGTTGAAATCCGCAACTTGCGGCCGCAAGTAAACACTAATGCTGGCTGGGCACTACTGTGAATACATCGTATCTGGATATTAATATATCACCAATCCCTTTCGCCACCTTTGTACCTGACACATTTGGCGCAAACACAGCACAGCACAGTATATTTGCTGCTCCTTTGTAGAATGCACATCATTGCAAACCTGATGAGGGCTATATGCCGAAACGTTGTTTTAACTACGAAAATGTGTTCGAACGTTGGAGTGTAAATAGAAGGGAGCGAGTCCGCTCCATCTGTAATTCTACTTTGACACTGCAGAAAAATAACTAACCACCCAAGCATGAAAAATATACTGGCTTGAATTGTACAAACTACGTGAGAACTGAATATGACGTTAAACAGTATACCTAAACGGGGACTTCCCCAGGGACTCATAGTCTTTGGTGGATCATGGCGTTAGAAAAAGGTACAAAAAACCCGTTTTTTATGGTTCGTTTAGTTAACATTTTGTTATGTTTGCAACCCCCTTTTTTGTTAGATACATGAAGAAATGGAGCAGAAATAACAGAAGTGCGTGCTATAATGTTGAAGGTTCTGAAAATTTTAATATAGCTATGAATAGGATGAAGGCCGCAGACATCACGCAACTACTTTACTTGTTTGACATGTATTTACTGTGTATTTGATAACAAAAATATTATTGAAAACCCATAATCGATTTTCTTGTTCCTATCATCAGTGGGAAAAATACGGAACTAAGGATACAACCAAAGAAACTGAAGTTAAGTACTGTAAATAGAAATGTGTTAGAAATAACAAGATACAAGTGATAATATTTTTGTTATAAAATACATAGTAAATACATGTCAAACAAGTAACGTAGTTGCGTGATGTCTGCGGCCTTCATCCTATTCATAGCTATATTAAAATTATTATCTCCACGTAGATTATTTGTTCTGAAAATTTCAATGCTTTTCAAGTAGAATCTGTCATTGTTTTAGAGAATTATCCACAAAGGGCGAATGACTCACGGATTCAATTAGTGATCTTTTAAGGGCATAATTATAAAATCGGTTGTGGCAACAAACGCGATTAGGCCGGCTGCAGGGACGCCGTAATGTCGCACTCGCCCCAGCACCATTCAAACCCTTTGGCAGTTCACGGCACGAACTTCAACAAAGCCCTGTGAATGCGTACCAGGGGAAGGCTAGACAGCATGTCTCTAGACATCAATAGGCATCGTATGAAAAGCCAGTCAATAGCACTAAAGAGCAAAAGCCTTTGTCACGATTCGGTTTCACTCTCGCACCGGGCCCGAGCTGCCAGCACAAACAAACGCCGGACGCGAGCTGGCAGCGCAAACAAACACCGTACTCACACGAGACCGTTGGGCCAACGGATGGCCACAGCCATCAAAAACAGGAACAAACCCATCCACGGCTCTTTCTCTTGCTAGCTGTGCTGCTGCGTGCATCCAACTGTTTTGCAATTTCTTTCTTCCTTGTTGCAATTTCTTGGTGAGATTTGAAATTTCTAAAGTTCTGCTGTCGTAGGAGATCCTGAGCCGTCACCATGAGCTCCGTGCCATCACTTTCCGATCTCCGCCAACTCAAAGTCGACGGAGTTGAAACTCGACTGCAAGAACTGGGGCTTTCTTGCTCAGGCAATTTTAGACCCCAGGTGAGCCGCCTGCATGAGCATTTGTCGGCCCAGGCAAGAAACAAAGCTAATAGGGCTTGAAGGTGATGACGTCAAAAACGGCCAGGGAGTACTAAGTTGACATCCGATTTCTATTTTGGATCCACTAAGGTGTGACTTTGCTATTGCCTCAGTATGTGGGTGCATAGCAACCTACTCATGTCGTATGCAGGGGTGACTTTTACTTCGCCACCAGTTACACAGAACACGCAACTGGCACTTGCCGGGGACGTAAAGGCTGCTAATGCTGCTACTGTTGGCTGTTCTCTGTAGGTCTGTTTGTTGCGTGTACTGGTCCCCTCAGGCTGTGTGGTGATGCCAGTGAGCGTCTCCTGTGCTGTTGTTCTGTAGTCCGCTTCTCTTAATGCCCAGGCCAGCAGAGTGCATACCGTCTCCGCTTCACCTCTTTCTGTCATCTGGCGGTAGTACTGCGTCAAGAGAGACTGTGGCAGTTTCTTCAGGAGCTGCTGATAGAATGCACCAGCCTGAAGTTCCTGGCTGCGTCCGACGTCTTCTAGGTGAATGACAGCTACTTGGAGAAGATCAGCGAACTTCTCCAGATCCTGGGCAGCTCGTTCCATTCGTATCACTGGTAGCCGTGCCAGCGCCTCTGTATGCACTGCTGTCTGTCTTCTATCGCCACCAAACTTCTGTTCTAGACGCCTGATTGCTGCGGTGTACGCTGCTGCTGAGTATCCATAAGATTCTATCGCTTTCAATGCTGAGCCCGTCAAACACTGACGTAGTTGCAATAATTTCAGCTCTGGCGATAAATCTTGCTGCTCAACGCAAACCGAGAATGCTGCTTTCCATGTTCTGTATGCTGTTTTATCACCACTAAACATAGGTATCTTCACTTTCTTCAGGTGTCGGTACACGTCTGCTGGTGCTGCTGTTGACGATGGTGAGCTGGCTGTCATTCCAGACCAACTGGTCTGCGCGGGTTGCTGCTGCTGGTATTGTTGCTGTTGACGCTGCTGCTGCTGCTGTTGTTGCCGCTGCTGCTGCTGTTGTTGTTGTTGTTGTTGTTGTTGCCGCTGCTGCTGTTGCTGTAGTTGTTGCCGTTGCTGCTGCTGTTGTTGCAGCCCAGACAACGGCTGTGGCCTGGGCCTCGGTAGCGGCGTGGAAAACCGCTGCGGCGGTAGCATGCGTGATAACGGCTGCGGCATAGACGACGGCTGCAACGTAGACAAAGGCTGCGACGACTTCAGCACATAGACCGACTGGGACGCGTACAACGGCGGCATCGAGTGCTGCGACACAGGCAACGGCAAAGACTGATCTGCCGACAATGGCGGCAACGACTGCTGCGACCCGAGCAGCGACTGCTGCGACACAGGCAACGACAAGGACTGATCTGCATACAACGGCGGCAACGACTGCTGCAACACGGGCAGCGACTGCTGCGATACAGGCAGCGACTGCTGCAACACGGGCAGCGCCTGCTGCGACACGGGCAGCGACTGCTGCGACACAGGCAACGGCAAAGACTGATCTGCCGACAATGGCGGCAACGACTGCTGCGACACGGGCAGCGACTGCTGCGATACAGGCAGCGACTGCTGCAACACGGGCAGCGACTGCTGCGACACAGGCAACGGCAAAGACTGATCTGCATACAACGGCGGCAACGACTGCTGCGACACGGGCAGCGACTGCTGCGATACAGGCAGCGACTGCTGCAACACGGGCAGCGTCTGCTGCGACACGGGCAGCGACTGCTGCGATACAGGCAGCGACTCCTGCGACACAGGCAACGGCAAAGACTGAGACGCAGACAACGGCGGCAACGACTGCAGCGACACGGGCAGCGACTGCTGCGACACAGGCAGCGACAAGTACTGATACGCAGACAACGGTTGTGACATACATGAAGGCAAGGGACAAAGACTGCGACACATACAAAGGCTGTGTGTGTGTGTACTGCATGCGTGTGCGCTGTGATTGCATCCTAGACACAGGTTGCGATGCAGTCTCTGGGGTCTGTTTGCCAGGTTGCCACAATGTGTCCATGGAGTTGTTGGTGTGGGCCAATGGTGCTGTCCCAGTGTTGAACTGCTGTGCATTCTCAATCATATACTCGGTGCTTTCTGGAACAATCACTGGCGTAGCAATGTCTGGCACGAAAGCGTTCGCCCACGTTGTATCACTATTTGCAGTTGCACCTTCTACGTCGTTTGGATACTCTTGCCGATCCTTCGTATCTGCCTTTTGATGATGACCATAGCCTTGTAAAGCCGTCTGATCACCAGCGGGTTCGCATAACGGCGCACTCTCGCCCGTTTCGGGAACCTGTGCGTCTGCCTGTGCACGACTCGTGCTGTCTGTTTGCTGCATATGGCCGCTCAGGACAAGGCCTGCAGCTCCTGGTGCGTGATCCGTGTCCTTATCTAGACTCGCTAGGTACGCTTTCACCTTATCGGCATTCCGGGTGTACTGTACACCGCTTATAGAGCTCGCAAGTGAACTGTTGTAGTTTGAACAAATTCCGTACATGTACTCACTAACCATAGCCACTGTGTTTGCATACATTTCTTGTGTTGCTACATACTCCTCAAACAACTCTGGATCCTCCCGCAATGTACTAAGCAAGCAATGTACTTTTAGGTCCAGCTCCACGAGTGACAGTTTGACAGCACTTACAGGTGATCCATTTTCGATTTCGTTCAGAACCGCGATTCTTCCTCTGGCGAAGGCGACACTCTGGTCAGCCTTTCTCGACCTCGCATCCATTGAATCCGGCTCGAAGGACCAATTTTAGAGATCCTACTCTGGTTCTGCCCGTACTAGTAGTAGTAGAATCCTAAAGGACGTTTTGGCTCTTCGTTGAGCTCATTTAGTTATTACACATAGACACTCAGTGTCTTTCCACTCGGAAACAATTCTCCTCATACTTCAGTAAGAATCATTATCATTAGTATCAGAGATACTCAAACTCGTGACTGTCCTCCAAGTAGTAATGCTGAGGAAGCGTCTACATCACGACGGCTGGGGTAGATATTCCCACCAGCCGTACGCGACGCAGAAAATGCTAGTGTCAGGATAAGGACATCGTGGAGGCGAATAGAGACATACCGTAGAAGTCTCCGGTAAACGAAAGCAATACGACGGGAAAAGAAGAAGACTGTATAACCATAAACGGGACAAGTCATGGCAGTAAGTATAGAACTAGAAAACGAATGGGAACAGGGTTGACTTGACATAAAACGTACATGTAACAATAAATCGTAGTGTTGTCCAACGGTAACACACAGTAGCAATAAATACTAGAAATGCATCGAAAGTGCAGCTGTCAAAATCAGAGACAATGTACAGAGTGAAGACGCATGCAATATCTAACACACCCACATGGACAGAAGTACTGCGTTGCATTGAACGATGATCTTCCTGCCCCTGCGCACATGCATATGATATGCCACACTTGATTTATCGTGTGTAAGAAATATCGGAAATAAGAATAGAAAGTCGTTTTTCAAACACCCACGCTATAACCGATACCTACTGTACAATGCTCAATTCAGGAGCGAGCCATGATCGCTGTACATTTTTTTTACTAGAGCCACGTGAACCCGTCATTTGTGAGCCATGAATAAGGGGAGTGGTGGTGTGGTCTGGGATGCTCTGCCGATCTTGGGTCTCGGCTTCATCATAACCAGGCGCGCCATTCTCTTCCTACTGCTAACCATCCTGTGTGGAGAAAACCCTGTCTCAAGCTCGTCTGCATTTCTACTGGGTTGGAATGGCTTCTGACATCACCGAATTTGTTCAATGCTGCCACACCTGTGCACAGATTCGAGCGAAGAATCCAACAAACCGTGCACCACTTCAGCCAATGATTGCCGGTTATCCGTTCGAAATTGTTGCCTTTGACATTGTCGGTCCTCTGCCTAAAACTTCACAGGGCCATAAGTATCTCCTGGTCATGGCAGATTACATTACGCGATGGGTCGAGGCGTTCCCTTTGCGCGATATCACTGCTGTTTCGGTCGCTGCAGCTGTCGTTAATGGTTGGATCAGTCGGTTCGGTGCACCTGAACAGCTTCATTCAGATCAAGGGACCCAATTCGAATCTCGGCTATTTGCGGATATCTGCTGTCTCCTTGGTATCCGCAAGACGCAAACCACGCCGTATCATCCTTCTGGCGATGGTCTGGTGGAGCGCGTCAACCGCACTTTTCTAGGTCTGCTGCGAGCCCACATTACTCCAACCAGTACGGAGTGGGATGCAACGTTCCCTCTCATCATATCGTCCTGCAGTGCACAAGTCCACTGGATTCAGTCCAGCGCGCCTTCAGTATGGTGCGGATGTCCGGTTACCAGCTGATATTGTGTTCAATTTACCTTCGCTACCTTCCACTGATATGCATACCTATGTCCGTAGTCTCCACACTTCTCTGCGCAATATTCACATTGAAGCCCGTCATAATGCGTATCTTGCTCATGCGTCTCAAGAACGGTACTATAACCGTCGCGTTCATGGTGAGCCTTATGTTGTCGGTCAGCAAGTATATCTTCATGATCCAGTTATCCGTGCTGGCGAGCACCGTAAATTTCATCGTTTCTGGTCTGGTCCACATACTATTGTGCGTGTTCATGGTCCGACATCATACACGTTATTGCTGAATGGTGTTGAACGTACTGTTCACTTCAATCGCTTGAAGCCAGTTACTTCATCGTGCCCAGTTTGCTTACCGTCGTCTGTCCATGATCTCCCCGACCCTGTGAGTTTGTCAGCTAATGACTTTGTTCCTGTTGTGCCACATGATGCAGATGACTCTGTGCCGAGTACGCCACCATTGTCGCCGCCTGTTGCCGTCTCACCCCTACCTCCCCCTGTTGCTACTCCAGTATTAGTGCTCCTGTGAGATTTGATGACTATGTTTTGTAGTTTGGTCATTGCATACCCATAATTAGTAGAAATGTAATTGTTGTTGCCCTGCTTGCCTATTATTCACGAGGTCGTGAATGGTGAGAGGAGGGGAATTATGTAGTATAGGCCAATGATTACTGATGATTGTTATTTCTTACATTTGTATTTCGTATTTCCTGCTCCTGTCCACGTGACGAATCTCTGGCCTTGTAAGCCGCGCGCATGCTCGCGTGTTTCTTGCCTTTCTCTCTCCTCTCCTCTGTGACAAGTAACATTAGTTTTACTATCGATATGAACAGTTTGAGTGTCTGATGAAACCTGGGAATAGTCTGGTATTACTATTAGGAAAGGGAATCCTACACATGCATCGACTAGGCGCCAGGCGGAAACTGATGGTGGTGGTGGTGGTGAGAAGGAGAGCTCTGCCCTAGAACTTTGCAGCCTAGAGAGCGTGCGTGGGCAGGCGTGTGTTTAACGCAATATTGCCAGGTGTGTCTTTACCACCATATTTATCAACCATAAGTACAGCTGGAGTGGTGTCTTCAACTTCATTCTCCAGATAATAATACTCAAAGATATTCCAGGTTTGTTCATCACGTATTATTAATATTATTATTATACGCACGTCCGCGTTTACGTCAACAGTAAGTCCACGTATTCGCATGTGCCAGAAGGCAGGCAGAGTGGGCAGAGAGGAAAACAAAAAATAAAAGTAAAAAGACAGCAGGCGATAGGCACATAACTCATGTTCGATGATAGGCGCTCAATGCACGGGATCTATTCGAAAGATCAAAAAATAAAACAAGAATAACAGACAACGACGATAGGTTTGTAACTCATGGTCGATGGTAAGTGCTAAATGCACGGGATCTGTACAATGCCTCTGTCCCATCCGTTAGTTACTGCGTACAGCCTAGCACAGCTCGCGCCACGCTGGCCTGTCCACGTATTAAGCAGTACTATATATAAACACAGTTATGCAACTGTTCCCTGCGTTATGCAACTGTTCCCTGCGTTATGCAACTGCTCCCTGCGTTATGCAACTGTTCCCTGCGTTATGCAACTGCTCCCTGCGTTATGCAACTGTTCCCTGCGTTATGCAACTGTTCCCTGCGTTATGCAACTGTTCCCTGCGTTATGCAACTGTTCCCTGCGTTATGCAACTGTTCCCTGCGTTATGCAACTGTTCCCTGCGTTCAGTGGTACAATTGAGAATACTTACAGTTGTTCGAGGTTTGTTAGACCAGAGAACACACCATCACTTAAATTCTGGATGTGATTACCGCCCAAATATCTACAAACGACAAGCCAAAAGGACAATGTTGTTCTTGCTTAGTTCCAGGTAGTGAACAAAACACAGAGTTTAGGATTGTAGTAGTTCTAATCTAAAACGGCGAATCATGACCTTGTTTTCAGAAATAACCTAGACTCCTAACCACAACATGATTCATATGCAACTAAGTAAGGTTGCACAGTTCACACACACCACTGTAACATAATTATAGTCTCCGTCATTTGTAAAATATAGTGAAAAGAAGAAGGACAAAATGTTACGAGTTATGACTAACTGTCCACCAACGTACCCAGATCTTATACAGTCAGCGAGTGCGATAAAATGGCACAGAACTGACAAGGAGTATTGTTACTGAGTTATAGTCATAACTCGTAACATTTTGTCCTTCTTTTTTTCACAATAATTTAATTGGCTCACCATCCGAGTAAAATATAGTCTCCGTCTTTTTTATTCTATTGTCAAGCATAAGGTTGGTTGCAAAGCTAAGAAAACACAATTTCTAACGATTCATTGTTTGACAATGCAGAAAAATAACCGGCCGCCGATGCTTGAAAAATATATTGGCTAAAATATACCTAAACGGGGACTTCCCCAGGGACTCATAGTCCTTGGCAGATCATCGAGTTAGAAAGGGTCCAAAAATCCTCGGTCTTCGTTTGGGTTCATTAAGTTAATGTTTTGTTATGTTTGCAACCCCCCCCCCTTTTGTTATATTGATGAAGAAATCAAGCAGAAATAGAGGAAGTGCGTGCTGTAAGGTTTGAAAGTTCTGGAAATTTCAATGCTTTTCAAACAGAATCTGTCATTGTTTTAGAGAATTATCCACAAAGGGCGAATAACTCATGGATTAAATTAGTAATCTAGAGGGCATAATTATAATCTTCGTTCTGCGTTTCCTAAAACTTCAGAACATTTGAAAGTTATAGAGGGATACATGATTTTGCATAAGGCACTGTAGGGCAGATCTTAAAATGAAGGGAAATTTTGTTGCACCATTTACTGTGCGCTGCCGTCTGGGTATCCTATGCACGTAACACTTTTTTATTTTTATTTATTTATTTCACTCAACTCGTGGTTCATGACCAATTGGCATGCAAAGTGCGAGAGAGGGGTGATAGCCAACCACGGCAAGAAAAGAAAAGAAAGGAATATAGAAAAAGAGAAGAAAGAAGGATAGACAAGAATCCAGCAATGAGATCCTATCGTACTACATTATGCGATCGGAGTGCATTTTTAAAGCTGGAAAGACATTTTGATGTCTTAACATGCTGGGGAAGTTGCAGCCAAAGGCTGTAGGACAAAAACAGAGGAGAGTTGGTAAATGCGGCTGAATTAGCACGGGGAAGTGAGAGACTATTACGAGTGGATCGGGACAGAGAAAACCAATTGAATACGGAGAGATGAATGGGAATTTTGCCTAGGCGAATTCTGTGGATCAAAACGCAAAGCTGCTGTTTGCGATTATCCTGCAGTGGCTGAGTATTGCTGATACAATAGAGCTCAAGACTAGGAAATAAACGCTGCTTGTTAAACAATATTTTAAGAAGAGATTTATGTTGGATTTCAAGTTTGTTCACAAGATGTTGACTTACAGTCCATTCAGAAAAAGATGGACTTCTAGCTTTTGGCCATAAATGGGTCAAACTTTGAGTTTTTTTAGAATTTTTTTCTGCAATCCCCTATGGAATCCTCTTCCAATTATGTTTCTGAAGTTTTTTTGTCCAAAAAGCAAGCCATAACAAGAATAGAATTTCGGCCAGGTTTTGCCCCAACAGCACTGAATTGGGAAAAACCATAAAAATCCAGGCCGTTTGACCCCGCCTGCAAACGTGCATTGTGCGGTTCGAATCCCAGTTCAGGTACCCTTTTTGGACCCTTTTTCAAATTTCAAATTTCGCAGCACTGCACTGTGTACGATGAAATCACGAAAAATCGCCAAATACGGGAGCTCGCCAGAGCCAGAGCCCATCTTTTTATGAATGGACTGTAGACTACACCAAGACTGACATGCATACTGGAAAATAGGTAACAGATACGAGCGATAAAACATAGAAAGGCATGTATTTGGCAAATGAGAACGATGAGGATATAGTATGCCGAGAACGCTACTAGTTATCTTGCAAATATAGTCTACATGAGGAGCCCATGTTAGACAGTCATCAATAATTATACCAAGGTGCTTATGTTCATGGACAATTTCTATGGTCGATGAGCTGCCAGGACATGATAAAGACACATTACAGAACTGATCACTAGCACCGCTACAGAAGAACATCACTTTGGTCTTACTAGTGTTCGGTCTCAGCTTCCAAGTCGACATCCAAGAAATGGCGGAGTTTATCTTTTCCTGGAGGTCATTGACTAGCAATTGCTTGCAACTACTTGAAGCCGAAACTGTGGTATCATCGGCGAACAGTGAAACATTAGGGACAGACATCGGTAGATCATTGACGTAGACTAAAAAGAATAGTGGCCCCAGGATTGACCCCTGTGGCACACCAGAATTAATTGCCTGGGGAGACGAGATGGTGTTGCCGACGCGTACAGCCTGTAACCTGTCAGTTAGGTAGCTTTCAAAGAAACAAAGCAGGTTGCCACCAATGCCATAGGCACCCAACTTGGCAATCAGGCCTCTATGCCAAACAGTGTCAAAGGCTTTCGCCAGGTCAAAGAAGCACATGCCAGTATGTTCTTTCAAATGTCGGGACTGCATGATGTTTTGGATTAGGTGGACTAGGTGCAGAGCTGTGGAGTCCCCTCGCCGGAAACCAGACTGCATGGTATGCAAGTACGGGAACAAGTGTCGATATAGCTGATCGTACACAATGCGCTCAAACAGCTTTGAAATACAGCACAGTAGGGAGATGGGTCTATAGTTCGTTGCATCCGACCGGCAGCCTTTGCGCTTATAAATTGGGACCACTAATGCATATTTCTATGCGGAGGGAAAGATTCCAGACGACAGAGATGTTAAAGAGCAGCGATAACAGATATGCTAGGCTTTCTTGGAGGTGTTTCAGGATTTCGTTTGGTATACCATCGTAACCAGGAGACTTCTTATTGGGGAGACTGCGTATGTATCTGGTTACAGTACGGGATGAAATCGTCAGCGATGTAAACGTTGAGTCTACAGGTATTTGGTGGATAGGAGGAACTAACCATTCAGGTCTATCCTTAACGCAGAAGCTGGTAAACTGCTCATTCAGAGCATCCGCAATATCAAGAGGCGCAGTGGCGGAACTTTGGTCAGATCGTGTGATTGCTGTTGGACTAGAGCCCAATGACGATGCTGATTTACGAAGAGTTCTTATAAATGAGTGAAGTGATGGACGCTGGCTGTCGGTGAGAGTAGTAATGGACTGGATGTATTCTTTTAGGGCTACACGTGATAACGTTTTTGCTATATTAAATGACGTTTGTACTGCGTTGCATTGGACGGGGTAGGGTATTTTTTATAGATGCTGTAGAGGTCATGCTTTCTCTTAATGCCTGCCCTGAGCACTGGTGTCATCCATGGTGGATCCTGGCGTGAAGGGCGGCTTCGGTTTCTGGTGGTTGACTGGTGATCGCGGTGAGAAGAGCAGACTGAGAGAGACGATTCGAGGACAGACGAGAAGTTAGAAACGGCGGAGGGAAAGATTCCAGACGACAGAGATGTTAAAGAGCAGCGATAACAGATATGCTAGGCTTTCTTGGAGGTGTTTCAGGATTTCGTTTGGTATACCATCGTAACCAGGAGACTTCTTATTGGGGAGACTGCGTATGTATCTGGTTACAGTACGGGATGAAATCGTCAGCGATGTAAACGTTGAGTCTACAGGTATTTGGTGGATAGGAGGAACTAACCATTCAGGTCTATCCTTAACGCAGAAGCTGGTAAACTGCTCATTCAGAGCATCCGCAATATCAAGAGGCGCAGTGGCGGAACTTTGGTCAGATCGTGTGATTGCTGTTGGACTAGAGCCCAATGACGATGCTGATTTACGAAGAGTTCTTATAAATGAGTGAAGTGATGGACGCTGGCTGTCGGTGAGAGTAGTAATGGACTGGATGTATTCTTTTAGGGCTACACGTGATAACGTTTTTGCTATATTAAATGACGTTTGTACTGCGTTGCATTGGACGGGGTAGGGTATTTTTTATAGATGCTGTAGAGGTCATGCTTTCTCTTAATGCCTGCCCTGAGCACTGGTGTCATCCATGGTGGATCCTGGCGTGAAGGGCGGCTTCGGTTTCTGGTGGTTGACTGGTGATCGCGGTGAGAAGAGCAGACTGAGAGAGACGATTCGAGGACAGACGAGAAGTTAGAAACGGCTGTATCAATATCAAGGCCGCATAAAAGGTCACTCCAGTGAGTTGCGGCAATTTCAACATTGACGCCTTCCCATTGCGATTGAGTGAGCAATCATCCAAGGATTAGGGTTTCACCTTTTGACGGTACCCAGTTACTGCTCTGGACATCTGGACATCGTCTTCCATTCTCTCAATGGGCTCTGACTTTCTTTCAAACTCTTGCTCGTTACGGCTCAGGTAGACGCAACCTCTCTGTGTAGGATCTGATTGCGCTCTTCCTTCAGGCTCTTTCCTCTTTGCGTATCAACTGTGATTGTCGGCTGTAGTCGGATGTCCCTTTGCTATTTGGATGGGTACTTTGAGAAATGCTCGTACCGCGACGTTCATTGTTCGTGGACTGTGTTCGAAATCATAACAGCGACAACTCGCTCGTGATTTGAAAACGCATCCCGTCGACTTCTGAGGACTCCAGGACCTGAAAACAAAGGTCCCGTTCGACAGAAGTATTAAGCTCACAGGCTAGTGAGGTTTTGCCTCACAAAAAACTTTTGTGCACCCGCACATGTTGTCCAGGCATCAGGGGTCCAGCCTCCCTTTACACGCAGCGTCTACAACTGTGCCCTTCTATCAGTGCAGCAGATATTAAATAATAAATATGGTGGTAAAGACACACCTGGCAATATGGCACCTGCCCACACACGCTCTCTAGGCTGCAAAGTTCTAGCACAGAGCTCTCCTTCTAGCCACCACCACCATCAGTTCGCGCCTGGCGCCTAGTCGATGCATGGTTGGCGGTATCCGACATAGCCGTCTGGTACATCAAGTAGCGCATGTCACATAGAAGATGACACAGCAACGACATAGCTCGACTGCGAAGTACGTTTCGTCCCCGCTGGACTCATCAAGCAATCTTCTTCTTGGATGTCTTCATACGGTACAATTTTATTGGCTTGAATTGCTACAAATTGCGTGAGATTCTGCTAGTTTATCGGCCGAGTCGGACGCCATGCCGACAGTGGCTGTGCCAAGTGTTACTCCGACAGTCGCTACAGCAACTCCAATTCCGGAGTTACCAGCTTCACCGCCGGCTCAGTCGTCCACTGTCATTGATACAGCAGCTACTACTATGCCTAGTACGCCTACTACTGCTATGCCTAGTATGCCTACTACTAATATGCCTAGTATGCCTACTACTGCTATGCCTAGTATGTCTACTACTGCTGTTACTCCTGTTATTATGCCTGATACAGTTTAAGTCGCTACTCCTGTTAGTGTGCCTGATGTGTCAGGGCCTGTTTCGTCAACTCCAATGTCGCCGCGCTATCCGTCAAGAATGCGCCGGGCCCCTGATCGCTTGATTTTGTGAGTACTGAGTGACTATCTTAGCATTAGTCATGAGTGACTCGCCTAGCAATTCTGACATTGCCTTAGAGTGTCCTATTCCGCTATTTGTCTGTAATAGCATAGTATTGTGTCATAGTTAGTCGGATATAAGGATTTGCTCTTGTGTATAGTTTTTTTTGATGCATTTTGATTATATATATATGCATTATTGCTATTCCCACTTGACTACTTCTTTAAGGAAGGAGGATTGTTATAGATTGATCTATTATTAATATTTGTGGTACGATCTACGATCTACGTTCTGCTACGTGTGTCGTTCTACGTTCCTTTGATGCATGCATGACAAAAAGTGACAATGTCTTACCTCATTAGGAATCAGTCTTCTTCTGCATTACGTCTGCATGGCTGACGTGTGTCTTACTTTGGTACGAGCTGACGAGGCATACTGTCGTGTCATAGCGCCATTAGTGCCACGACAGCACTGACGTGGCTCTGCTGCTTATCTCTTCATGATTGCCTTTAACATGTTCACTTCTAAATTATCCCAGAACAAACCAGATGGTGTTTCCTGCTGTGGCATACGCGAGTTGCATGGAATGAATCTTGCGTGCGTACGTTATAACAATTTCTCCTTGTCGCAACTTGGCTACCTAAGCTACAACTACACTACACTACACTGAAACCACTGCTACCTGCCTGCCACAAGTCCGGCCTTATGCCGGCGGGGATGTCCGAGACGATGTAAGAAAACTGGAGCTCGAAAAATTAGTTGTGTCACTTTGTGATTCTGCATTTGAAAGCTCTATTTTTGCTGGCTTTGCTTGCATGGCAGGGGACATGTACCGGATAGGGCCAGCCATGGTGGGTCACGTGATGACAGCCCCAAGCCTACCAACCGCAGCCACTGCACACTGAACAAGTTCAGGCATGATCACGTCTTTTCTCCTGGCAACTGGGTGTCTGTTCACCTACCACTTGCTGTCCACGCACCTTTTCATTACGAGGTCGGCGAGTCTCCATACGACAGCATATCTGCTGTGTCGTTTCTCGAGGCTGCAGGACCTCACTTCACACATCTTCTACTCTCTGTGTAGGCACTCCTGCCGGCGCCATCTCCTCAGACCTTCTACACTCTCACACTTGTCATTTTGCTCTTACTCATAGCGCTCTGTTAATGATCCCAGCATTCTCTTTTATCCACAACCGAGTCCATTAAACCAATGCAATCTACCCTGTCCTTACATTCCCGGGTCATTAGCAGCACACCCATACATTAGAACGATAATGTGACACCGACTAAGGTCTATAGAAATCAAACCGCAAACATCACAATTCTGCGATCTACACCATACCGCACAATGCGAAAACGTATTCTAAAACAAATCCACAACAGTACAACTGTAAGGCTTGTCATGAAAGAGGTTTCTTTGAGGGACAGTGCATACACATAAAGAGCTTGTCCGCATAATATGCACATAAGTCAATCAGCCAGGAAAACAAGATTAGGTGAGTTGAACTGGTGCCTCGGTTGCAAAATAAACATAGAAACATTCTTTTTTTACTCTGTTTTTGCAGAGATGACGGGGCCGAGATTTACAGAATAGTTTAACTTACAGATACTGAAGGAGTGTTAGGTTGGCAAATACATCGGGAGGTAGGCTTGCAAGTCGATTCGAGCTCAGATATCTAAAAAAGAGACGAGAAAATTGCATCCAGGAGAATACTTGTGTACAGTGATGGCCTCTAACATATCAGGTAGTAACGGGTTATAGGAAATGTGTGCGGTGTCCTATAAATCATCCTTATCGTGTAGATTTAAGAGAGCATGTCCGAGGAAACCAGACGTTGCGTGAAAATGATGTCTCCAATTTAAGCCAAATTGTGCAGGTGATTTTCTTTTGAGGTGTAGATTGACTGTGCAGATCCTTTGAAAACGTTTCTCAAGGGAACCCCATTAACTGGCCTTCTCATTGAAAATTGTCGTAATATCACTTGATAAATTATTACCCTAGAACAGCCACCGGTGTCATTTGACACCGCGCGAGTCAAACTTTTGGAATTACCGAAATATGGCTAATCAGAATAAGCTCAAATCTTGTGACTATTTCTAGTTTTGCTTCCTCTTTCGTCTGCCATAAACCTTTGATTTGTAATTGATGAGGTACCATAATGGCGAGTACGTATACCTAGAACGACCAACCAGTGTCATTTGACACCTGCACTAAAAAAAGCCATTATTCCCGTAGCTATGCAGAAGACGTTACTTCAGTAACGTCTGGCGCTAGCCAGGGTCCACACAGCTTTAATTCCCATAGCTATGCAGAAGACGTTACTTCAGTAACGTCTGGCGCTAGCCAGGGTCCACACAGCTTTAATTTGGTATTTGTTTGTTTGTGTGTTTGTTTGTTTGTTTGTTTGTGTCACGCCTGGCGCTATCCGTATTTGACGGCAAAAAAGCATAGGATGTTATAAATTTTTCAATTCTCCTTTTTCAGGCATATCCTGGGATTCGAACCCGCACTATCGCCCTACATGCATTCCCCCATACACTTCGCATTCATACCCATTCTTCCAAGTTGCTTCACGTTAATCTTGCGTTTGAAAGCCGTATTTGAATATTGCGGGCAGCTAGACGGTGTCGTATTACCCTCGATCGTACCTGTCCCGTACCTATTCCCTACCGTACCGTGCCATCAAAGATGGCTGGCCACAATGCATATTCAAATAGGGCTTTCAAATGCAAGATCACAATGTGAAACAACTTGGAAGAATTAGTATGTATGCGAAGTGTGTCGGGGGCTGCATGCAGGGCGCGCGATAGTGCGGGTTCGAATCCCAGTTTTTAAAAAAAGGATTTTTTTTAAGAAAACATCCCTATGCTTTTTTTTGTCTAGGTCATCAAGGCAAAAAAGCATAGCGCAGGGCCCTGAGCTTCCAAGCTCTCTCGTTTGGTATTTGTTTGTTTGTGTGTTTGTTTGTTTGTGTCACGCCTGGCGCTATCCGTATCTGATGGCAAAAAAGCATAGGATGTTATAAATTTTTCAATTCTCCTATTTTTCAGGCATACCCTGGGATTCGAACCCGCACTATCGCCCTACATGCATTCCCCATACACTTCGCATTCATACCCATTCTTCCAAGTTGCTTCACGTTATTATCTTCCGTTTGAAAGCCCTATTTGAATATTGCGGGCAGCTGTATGTGGCCAGCTGTGTTTGATGGTACGGTACGGTACGGGAGACGGTGTCGTATTACCCTCGATCGTACCTGTCCCGTACCTATCCCCTACCGTACCGTGCCATCAAAGACGGCTGGCCACAATGCATATTCAAATAGGGCTTTCAAATGCAAGATCACAATGTGAAACAACTTGGAAGAATTAGTATGTATGCGAAGTGTATCGGGGGATGCATGCAGGGCGCGCGATAGTGCGGGTTCGAATCCCAGGTTATGTCTTAAAAAAATGGATTTTTTAAAGAATTTATAACATCCCTATGCTTTCTTTTGTCTAGGTCATCAAGGCAAAAAAGCATAGCGTAGGGCCCTGAACTTCCAAGCTCTCTCGTTTCAGCTAGATGGAAACAGTATGAACACATATCGAAGGTGTCGGCCATATTGCTCGTATGCCAACCAGACAAAAGAAAGGTGCATGGGCAGGAAAATTGCTGAATACAGGACGGAATATATGATCAACATACAACCGTCGGGAAAGAATCGCGAATTTGGGGCGGGTAAACATTAGTGCACAGATTATAAAAACACTTTTCAACTAATGTCCTTGATAATGCTCATTCCCTTTCATTTTCCTGCAAATTGCCCCAGAGGAGCCATCGTGGTCTGACGGCCATGGAAATACTAGAATGGATGTAGCCTATTACTTTTTGCCCCCAGTAGCCAAATCAGTCAGTTTCACTGGTTACATCACCTTGCTGAGAGTAAGACGGCTTGAAATGTGCTTGGATCCATACAAAAACTGGATCCAAGTTGATCCAATTTTTGAATTTTTGAAATTGTTGCTATGCTGTGACGTAGCACTTTCAAGCCCTATTCTACGAGCCAGGTCGCAAAAAAAAGACCACGCGTCGGCGGGCTAGTCCTGCGTCAGCCCCGGCCACTCAAAGCCCCGCGGCCGCGACCCAGCCTGACTCGTCGCCCGCGTTCACGTCGCAGCAATCTGCCGAGATCTCCCGAGCCGTGCAAGATGCAGTGGCGTCCTGCATGACGTCATTGACAACATCGATGGGTCTACCGGTGGTACCTCCACATGCACAGCCAACAGTAGCAGCAGCAACAGCAGCACAGCGGGCTGGTCCAGTCTCTGACGGTGATGTTGTGGTGCCTGAGCATGAATATGTCCAGCCTTCACTGGCTTCAGCACTAAGACCAGACCAGGAGAGTCTCTTCCTGGACGGCGATTTGCTCGCCCCAGAGCGTCCACCATCCATCCCATTGCCTGCCCTCAGCGACCATCTCACGGACAAGATTATCAAACGTGAGTACGTTGATTTTGGTAGGGTACTGGGGGAGCTGGCTTTTGATACGAGCATGGGTCCTGACAGTGGGTTCAGCCTGCAGGGGACGGGGGACCACATCACCCTTGTGCCATCTGCCATGTCGTCGTCATCCCATCTAAAGAAAGTTGTAGACTTGACATTGTGGTCGGAGGCGTTCTCAGCCTTCGCCCAAGTAGCCCTCCACCACGACCCCGGCAGAGGTCCGGAATTATTCAAGTATCAAAGCACAATCGTGAAAGCGGCCGCACGCTATACATTCGGTGCGTGGTCCGGCTTCGACATGTCGTTCCGTGCAAGAGCTGCACGCAGCAAATCTAGCCTTGCCACGTCAGATCCGGAACTCTGGTCGGAGTGGTTTACAAACTCCATCCTGCCTCCCTGCCGTCACTGCAACCGGCAAGGTTATTTAGCAGTTCGCTGCCCCCGCGCCCGTAGCCTAGCTTCACTGTCTGAAGGGCCCGCAGCCAAACGCCCCTTTCCGGCACAGCGATCAGGGGCTACCGCTCAGCCAAACGCCCCAGCTGTCTGCCGCGACTACAACCAAGGCCGCTGCCAACGCGCAGCCTGTCGCTACGGCCACCAGTGCAGCACATGCTTTGGCAGCCACCCCGCCAAGTCATGCCCAGGAAAGCCAGCCGCCACCAGCCGCGACCAATAGCTCGCAGTGGCCCAGCTTTGAGACTCGGTCACTCCAGTCACTCACCAATAACTCTACACTCACCCAGGCCAATAGCACTCACACACTCTACCCGGCTGCTCACATCTCTCCTACACGCACCCTCGCTCACGAGCCAATCCGTTTGCACACGCCTGTAAATCCCATAAGCGTTTCTTACCTGCTTGACGCTTTGTGTAAGCATCCTGATCCGGCTTTTGCCTCATTCGTAATACATTCTTTGTCTTATGGGTTCGATGTTGGGTTTGCTGGTCCCCGTACCTTCCGAGTCTCTCGTAATCTCAAATCAGCGATTGAGCACCCTGACATTGTCGATGCTGCCATCGGTCGTGAAATTGCCGCAGGTCGCATGGCCGGTCCCTACCAAGAGCCCCCCTTCCCACTTACGCAGGTCTCCGGTTTGGATGTGGTACCCAAGAAGTCACGGTCGGTGCAAAAATGGCGCTTGATTATGCATCTGTCAGCACCACAGGGCCACTCAGTGAACGATGGTATCCTTGTCGACAAATTCTCTGTACAGTACTGTTCCGTCGACGACGGCGTAAATCTCGCACGGTCCCTCGGCCGCGGCTGCCATCTGTGGAAGGTCGACCTCCAAGACGCATTTCGCATTTGTCCAGTACGGAAAAAAGGACTGGGAACTATTATGCCTGTTCTGGCGCGGGCAATATTACGTAGACAAATGCCTACCCTTCGGCCTTCGCTCATCACCGTCGCTGTTTAACAAAGTCGCAGATGCCCTCCAGTGGGTCATGTCGCAACTTCGACGTAGCCCCAGTCATCCACTACTTAGACGACTACCTTGGTGGAGCGACGGACTCTATCGGCGCGCAGCACCAGCTTGACCGTGCCCTGGTAGCCTGCCACGACTTGGGCTTCCCGGTCAATCCGAAAAAGGTGGAAGGCCCTAGTACAACCCTGACATTCCTCGGTGTCATGCTGGACACAGAGCGCTTCGAAATCCGCCTCCCATCCGACAAGTTAGAAGACCTTCTCATTGCCCTCAAGGCTTGGCAACATACCCGCCCTACGGCCCGCAAGTCTGAATTGTTGTCCCTGATAGGTCACCTCAGCTTTGTCTGCAAGGCGGTCCCTGCGGGCCGCGTGTTTCTGCGCCGCCTCATTGATCTCAGCCCGACGGTCCCGAATCCAAATGATTACATCAGAATCACAGAAGACGCCAAAGCAGACATCCAGTGGTGGCTTGACTTCCTCCCTGCCTGGAATGGCGTCGCCTTCTTCCTGGAACCCACGTGGTCAGCCGCCGCTGATATGGACCTCTACACGGACGCATGTAGAGCCATCGGCTATGGTGCTTTCTTCGCCGGCCAGTGGCTCCAACACCGGTGGCAGAGGCACCAATCCCAGAGATCCATCGCGTGGATGGAGCTCTTTGCCATCGTGGCCGCAGCATCCACATGGGCACCGCAGCTGCATCTGAAGCGCATCCGCTTCCACTGCGACAACCGTAGCGTATGCGACATCTGGCGCCGCTC